GTGCGCGGTGACTGTGAGACAGCTGGGCCCGCCCGACGAGCCAGTTGTTGCTCCACGAGCAGAGCACGTTGGTGAGCATCAGAAATGGTGGCCGGCGTAAATAGGTTCAAGGTGTCCCGAATCGCCAATCGCAGGCCACCAATATAACGAGACACCAATTGTTCATCCGTCTCTCGTATATCAACCCGGTTGAGAAGTCGGTAAAATTCATCAGTATAATCATCCACAGATCTGCCTCCTTGCTTTAGATTCTGGAGCTGTTGATACATGATACGAGTAAAATTGAATGGGAGAAACTCACGTTGTAAATACTTGTGAAATTTGGCCCACGACGAAACCTTTAACTTTCCGAGGCGCCGTCTCGTTTCCTTATGATTTTGCCACCACGCGGCCGCCCGACCACGCAGACGTGTGGCGACGAGGCCCACCCGACGATCATCTGGGACGTCCTTGTACTCGAGGATAGAATCGACGGCGGCCATCCAATCGAGAAAATCTGCCGCATCGAGACCGCCCGCAAACTTTGAAATATCGATTCGAAACGAGGCCTCCCAACGTTGGTCGCCGAACCGATTGTCCTCCCGCTGAGCCCTGGGGTCTCCAAACGGATTCACATCCGACAAGGTGTCATCGTCGTCTTGGTCCTCTTCGCCGAACGGTGGTGGCGAACGTTGGCGGGGCGCCCCGCCGAATCCCCGTCCGCCTCGACCACCGCGCTGCCCCCGACGACCGCCACGCCTGTCGGTCATGTCGCGGTTTTCGTGCTCGCCGTGCAGTCCGGTGTTGAAAGCCAGCGTTAACTCCTCGATCCTCGAAGTGAGGTCAACCATCAGACGGTCTGACGCATCACACCGGCGCATCAGAGCCTCGATCGCCACGTCCCGTCGATCGTCAACATCATTTCGTTTCGGAGGCATCTCGGATCATAGCTGGTCTCTGGATACCAACTGATGTAGCGCAGCGTACGAAATAGGGATACGAGATAAAAATCTCAAGAGAAATATTTTTTCTGTTCAATAACAATCGTCCCGATCCCAAATACAAGCAGGAGAATAAATAGAGTTTTCAACTTCTAAGTTCCCTAACTTGCTAGGTAAGTTAATAATTATTTTCCTAATAAACTAAACAAACGAAATAAGGAATAAAAGCATAACAAATAATAATATTAAATAAGGATAATTAATCACATAAAAACCGGAAGCCGATCGTATTTGTCGAGAAAGGCCATTGCGAGCTTCTCTCCATCAAATTCAATTGAGCAATTTTATTTTACGACACTTTTTAGTTATAAATAATTTCTGTTATAAATGATAACTTGAATATATAAAAGTGAAAATAACTATTTTCACCCCGTTTTGAAGTCTTGTTAAGTTTTTTAACACCGCCCAATAAAAAGCTAAGTTTTTCACCCCAGAAAGTGCGAAAGGCATTGTGCGATGAATATGGGACAATTGTGCGATGACATTGTGCGAAAGTTAAAAGTGCGAAGACATTCGCATATCTTTTCGCACTTTCTGGGGTGAAAAAAAAAAAGTAAAGTGCGAAGACATTGTGCGATGAACATGCGACAGTTATGCAATTGATATGCGATAGTTTTTCGCATAACTTTCGCAATGCGACAGTTATGCAATGAATATGCGACAGTTTTCGCATAACCTTCGTACTTTCCGAGGTGAAAAACTTATTTTTTTATTGAGCGGTGTGAAAACTTAATGTGTCTTTTGTATTGAGGTGAATTTTTTTTTTCCTTATATAAAATATACATCTTAATCTCTTAAGTGATATGTCATAGAACTGTTTAAAACTTGTGCGTGAATAGAAAAAAGAAAATTATATATCTATACTATTATAAAAGAGCCAATAAATCTGTAAAAATATGTTTTTCCTAAAATAACCTTATTTTATCATGTTTATAATGACAATTTTGTAGACTATTAGTGTTAAAGGATTTTATAATGGCAACATTGTAATTTAATTTAATAGTGTGGAGGGTGAAGAACATGTGGGCCCAGTTTATGTGAAATCGAGAACTTCCCGCAGACAACAGGGTGCTAGAATTGGGGATGACAAAAATAATACACAAAAATAAATGGTTAAGAAGGAATAAAAAAATATTATATTGCAATGAAAATTCAACGGTATGTTATTTTACTGAAAATTTCAATGGATACTTCATTGGTATAACTTTCATTATAAAATTTTATTGATTATTCCATCAGATATCAAATTAAATTACATTGAAATTTAGTGGATTTAATGATTTCAATTACCATTATTTATTGTTGTGTGAATTTTCATTGAATTTTATTGTTGTTTGAATTTTCATTGATTTTTTTTACCCTGTTTCAATTGTTGGAAAAATTGTCATTTGAATTATAAAATTTTTATTGTTGTTTGAATTTTCATTGATTTTTTTTACCCTGTTTCAATCGTTGGAAAAATTGTCATTTGAATTATAAAAATTTCAATGGAAGTTCAATTAAAAAGCCCCAAAATTCGAACAAGATTTTGTACCGAGTCAAGAAGAATGAAATATCCTCAAAACTCTCCATTGATACGACATGCTATTTTTTCCTTTTATTCCTTTTCAGGATCAGTCGCGGTCTTTCAAATTTTACCAACGGTATGGACGAATTCCTCACTTCATCCAAATATATAAAAGATTCTAGCCGCACTTAAAAGCCGAGTACTCTGCCGTTGAGTTAGCAACCCGAAGAAAATAGTTTATATAAAATAGTATGTGGTTATATAAAATGTAGAGTATTTATAAATAATATAGTATTTACAATATTTGATTATATTAATTGTATCCTAATATATAAGATATTTTGATTACAACGTCATTATATAAAGTACGTACAAAAAAATGACGTAATGCATAAAAATGTGCTCTAATACTTCTAACAAATAAATATTTTTTGTGAATAGAATAATAAACAAATAAAACAATAGTAATTTAATAGAAAAAGAAAAGGTTTGAATTTTTTTAAAGAAATGTGAATACTAATATCTACAAACAAAAGTCTTTTAAAATTACTTTTTTTTTTTTGTTAGCGTCTAAATTAATGAACTCTGTAAGAAATTAGTTCTCACTAATAATGGTCAAATATTATCAAGAATTTTAAATTACAAAAAAATAAAACTTTGTGATACATAACGTAAATTTTAATAATAAGTTCGTAATAATAAAGTTTACAGAGAGACTAAGAGTATCATAATATGGTAGAATTTTAATTCTTCTCTTCTTAAAAATTTTAAGAAATGACATGCTTCTTAATATTATCTTTTTGTTTTGTTTATTTTGGTTGTTTATTATTATTATTATTATTATTATTATTATTATTATTATTATTATTATTATTATTATTATTATTATTATTATTATTATTATTATTATTGTTGTTGTTGTTGTTGTTGTTACTTTTTGTCCAAGAAAGAATCATTATCTTGAATATTCGAAGCATTATGTATGATGCAAAAAAAAAAAAATGGACAATAAAAACAATACAGTAGTTATTAGTCACATAAGTACCGCAAATTAAACGGATGTGAAATATATTATGATAAACAATGCTAAAATCACTGCAACAATGAAGATGGTCAATAATTTGCAAACCATAAATTATATAGTTCGTTTGTCTTCCAAATAAATAACATTGAAAAAAAAATGTCGACAAAAATAATTTATATAATGGTAACAAAAATATCAACAATTTAATGATACGGTTGGTTATTTTATAACGATATTTATAAATTGTTAGTAGAAATAACTTATACAGAGAATACAATCATTGAGTTTCACTATATGTTTGACCAAAATATTTATAAGTGTTTGAATAGAGTAGACGTTTTGCCAAATGAATTAAGAATAATTTTGCAATACTATTGATGTACTGAGCTCCAAC